AAAGAAATATTTAATAAGTTAATTCTTATTCAATTAGTTCGAAGTAATATAATTTTAAATTATCAATTTATTTAATTCTTTAAAATACAATTATTTTATTAAGATAAAATTTGATATATGATAAATAAGAATAATAAGATAAAAAAAATGATATAATAAAACCTAATAAATATAAATTATAAATAAAATAATATTAGTTACTACTAAAATTTATGTAAAATATTTAGAAAAAGATAAAGAATAAAAAAAATTAACTTTGTGTTCATCAAATCGGTTGAAAAAATAAAAAATAAATTGATGGGAGATATTAAGGAAATGTGAAAAACTGAGAGGTAAGAGAGAGAATAATGTAATAAATTAATTGATATAAAAAATTAAAAAGACAAAAAATTAAAAAGTGGATAGAAGAAAAATTAAAATTGGTAAAATATAAAAAAATGACCTTATATGTAATAGAAAAGAAAATGAAATACTTTTAAAATATTAATATTTTAAAATTTAAATTTAAATATAAAGTCGAGGCGGGAACGGGGTGGGGATTGCATTACCCATTCCCACCCCTCCCCGACTTTTTAAAGTAGGGAAAACCTGAACTCACCCCTGCCCCCGGTTAACTCGGGTTTTTCCTGTCAAACTTGGGGCGGGGACGTGTCGGTCCCCATGGGCACAGACATAATTGCCATCTCTAAATTAGACCCTTAGACTATTAGTGGATATTTCATTGAATATGCTGAAAAGTCGAAAGGGTATAAATTCTATTGTGAATCTCATTACACTAGAATTGTAGAATCAAGAAATGCAATTTTTTTTGAAAATGACTTGATTAGTGGGAGTGATTCAATTCAAGATATTGATTTTGAAAAAGATCATTATAAAGTTCAACCCTCTCAATCAAATGATAGACTGAATATTAGTCATTTATGCTCTTCCAGTTCAAGAGCGTATTAGACAACGAGTTACTCAAGTTCCACAAGTAGTTGAAGATGATAATGTAGATCCAGTTGTTGAAGAAGAATAAGAAGTAAATGTTGGGCAACCTATTGAGCAACTGGTTGAACAAAAAATTTCTCATCAAGATAGTGAGACAACACTAAGAAACATTACAAGAATTTTACATAATAGTTATGACGTATTCTGTAGTTATTTTATAGCTAATCTCTCGCTGATATGTTTTGCTACAGATTAGCTACAGAATAACTATAGAATAGTCCGTCGCTAAATCCAAGTAGCTAATTAAATAGAGATGTATTCTCTCTCAAATTTGTAGTAAATTTTGTCGTCAATCTATCGCTAAGTCTCTCGTTAATTTAACTGATAAAATTTTATTTCTCTCTAGCGAGAGAATGACGGTAACAACGGCAACGACAACGACTGTAGTAACGTGAAGTTCTAGGTTTCAGAGAAAAGGGAAAAGGAGATTAGGTATAAGAAAGTGAGATGAAGATTAATTTTTAAAAAAAATTAAAAAAAAATATTATTTATAAAATTTTCTACTAATTTAAATACTATTAAATATTTCCTATAAATTTAAATTTATAAAAAATTTACAAAAAATAATTTATTTTAGATATAGAAAATAAGTTATATATATATATATATATATATATATATATATATATATATATATATATATATATAGATAGAGAGAGAGAGAGAGAGAGAGAGAGAGAGCAAATTTGGTAAAAATAATTTTTAAATATTTTTTTAAGAAAAAATTGTAATTAATTTTTGTTGATATTTTTATAAAAAGATCAAAATTATTTTTTATCATTATATATTTGTAGAGAAATTTACAAGTATTTTTTGTAAATAATTTATTGCAAAAAATACAGAAAATAAATAATTTTTAGTAGAAAGTTGACTTGGATTTGTAAGAGATACGTAAAAAAATCTCTAACAAATTTGCATTGAAACTTTAAGAGAATGGTTCCTAGCAACTTAATATTTTTTTTAATTTGATATGTGCTATAAATTTGCTACAATTTAGCTATGATTGTATGTTACACAATTTAGCTAGAAAATAGTTTTAAAAAGTAACATAGCTAATATTTATAGCAAGAGATTAGTGACAAAAATTTTCCTAACTAAATTATTTTTCTACTAAGTGAGGGAATAACTACAAAAATATTAGTCTTCTAGCTATTTTACTACATATTAACTACAACCTCATTCCTTCACTATTCCATAGCTAATTAGCTACAAATTAGTGAAAAATAAATTTTGTAGCAAATTTTTCTAGTTAATTATAAAATTTCTTGTGGTGAAAATTTACAAGAATCAAAAGATCAATTATTTATAGTGATTATGAAATGTATTTACAGGAATAAGATTATAACATTGGATCAAAAAATGATCCTGAAACATTTTCAGAAGTCATGAATTCTAAGAAATTGAATTTGTGGTATGATGCTATGAAATATGAGATGAATTTTATGGCGACTAATCAAGTCTGGGATCTTGTTGAGTTATCTAATGATGTAAAATCCATTATATAGATGAGTCTTTAAAACTAAGAAATAGTCAAAAGGTAACATTGAGAGACATAAAACAAGACTGATTGCTAAATGGTTTATTCAAAGATAAGGAATCGATTATAATGAGACGTTTTCTCTTGTATCTAAGAAGGATCCCTTAAGGGTAATCATGACATTAGTAGCTTATTTTGATTTTGAGTTACATTAAATGGGTATGAAAACGACATTCCTTAATGGTTATCTAGAAGAAGAGGTTTATATGAAAAGACCTGAAGGATTATTCTCTAGTGATGGTGAACACTTAGTATGTAAGCTTAATAAATCCATCTATGGGTTAAAACAAGTTTCACGTCAATGATATTTAAAATTTCATGAAGTTATTTCTTCGTTTGGTTTTGAGAAAAACATCATTGATCAATATATATACTAGAAGGGTTGTGGGAGAAAAATTTGCTTTATATATATATATATATATATATATATATATATGTGGATGACATTTTTCTTGCAACTAATGATAAGGGAATGCTATATGAGGTGAAACAACTTCTCTAAAAGAACTTTGATATGAAAGATATAAGAGAGACATCTTATATCATAGGCATTAAGATCCATAGAGAAAGATCTTGAGGTGTTTTGGGTTTCTCTCAAGAGACCTATATCAACAAGGTTGTAGAGAAATTTAACATAAAAGTTTGTTCATAGAGTGTAGCTCCCATTGTGAAGGGTAATAAGCTTGAATTTGGTTAGTGTCCGAAAAATGATTTTGAGCGGGAACATATGATGAATGTCCCATATACTTTAGTTGTTGACAATCTTATGTATGCTCAGGTCTGCATCAGACCAAACATTACATTTGCAGTTGGAGTTTTGGGAAGATACCTTAGTCATTCAGGTGTTGACCACTGAAAAGCTATAAAGAAAGTAATGAGATACCTTCAAGGAACAAAGAATTTCATGCTCATATATAAACAGACCGATAGTTTAGAGATGATAAGCTACTCTGATTCAGACTTTGTTGGCTGCATTGATACCAAAAAATTCACATCTGGTTATATTTTTATGCTAGCTTATGGAGTTGTATCTTGGAGTAGCAAAAAGCAGACCTTGACTGCTACTTCCCCTATGGAAGCTGAATTTATTTCTTGTTTTGAGGCTACTTCACATGATGTACGGTTGAAGAGTTTTATATTTGGGCTTAGAGTTGTAGACTCAATTGCTGGACCATTGAAATTATATTGTGACAACTCTGTTGTGGTATTTATGACTAAGAATAATAAGAGTAGAAGTCAAAGTAAGCACATCGACATCAAATATCTAGTCATAAGAGAATGTGTTAAGGAAAAGAAATTGGTTATTAAACACGTTAGTACTGAGTTGTTGATTGTTAATCCTTTAACTAAAGGCATGCCACTTAAAAATTTGAAGGACCGTGTAACAAAAATGAGACCTAGTTCTATGTTGTGACAATTTGTAATTTTATAAAACTCTCGTTTAGTTTTTGATGATTTCTCATTTATTTGTGCACATATTTATTTATTTTTTAGAAATATTATTAGTTTGACCTAGAATAAACATAAGGTTTATTCATTAATATTTAAGAGTATTTTATGAGAAACTTAATATATTGTGATATATGAAAGATAAAACTTATTATTAGAGGACCTATCACCATTATTAGAGGACCAAGTGGGAGAATGATGCATGATCCATCCCACCATCCCATGATCTAGTTATCCCACAATTTGCGCAAAGTGTTCGACTTTCATAAACTCATTATCTAACAGTTTTACAAATCTTATGGTTGCGATTTAGATCTCTGTGATGGTCAATACTCTATAATACCACATATACTATGTGCTTCAAAGTCATCAAATATACTTTCTTCTTCAGTATATCGTACTCACCAGTGTTATAAGGAGTTAAGGTTTGAAAACTAATAAGTATTTTAGGGAAGTTTTGTTCCGAACAATGGTCGAAGGTTAGTAAATATTTTTATGATTATGTTTTCTTATGTTTTACATTTCACAACTCTATATAAAATATATTTGTGTCATTTTATTTAACATGTCATTTGATATTAATTTTTTAAAACTTGTAATTACTTGTATTTGATTTAAATTGTGTGAATAAAGAAACTTATATGAGTTCTTTTATATGAATACTTAATCAATGTATAACAGTAAAATATGAGTTATGTTAAAAGAAAATATGAATTTAATACTTAATCAACTGTATAACGTAAAAAAATAGTACTAAATATCAAGCTTAAATATAAAGAATTAGTAAAATTATATCTAATTCTTTTATGAGATCTTTTAAAATAAAAAATTATAATAAAATGTTAAAGGTAAGTATTTTTAAAAATTAGAGGATCAATTTTATCAATTTGAAAAAAGTGAAGATAAAAAGTAATTTAAAAAAAAAATCAAAGACAAAAAACATACCTTTCTCTATAAATTAACATGCCCAGTGTGGTTGTCCATTAGAGAATAATCTTGAGGGTGAGTATTGGTTTGTTAGAAGATGAAGGGGAAGACAGTGATAGTTTTGGGCTTGCTAATAAACATGATGTTGGTTGCAAGTGAAAGTGAAGTGAATGGCATAACTTGTGGAAAGGCTGTAGTTTATTTGTTGCCATGTGAGACATTCTTGCTGGGTTTGGGTCCACCAGCACCCTCTCTTAATTGTTGTACAAGCATAGCAGTCATATTCAGACAGACCAAAACAGTGAAGCTTCGTAGATACATATGTAATTGTCTGAAGAAATCTGCAATTCACGCCGGCGTTAAGCACGAGAGAGTCGCATTACTTCCTAAATATTGTAAGACTCATTTTTCGTTCCTCATTGATCCCTTCATGGATTGTGATTCGTAAGTCCCCTTCTTCATTCTCTCTATCTCATATTGTTATGCTTTTATGAATTTCATCACATGTTTTGCTTATTCTTACATGTCTCTATGAATGCAGGGTTCAGTGATCTTCCCAAGTGTGGATTGTTGATAAATAAAATATTTGTATGATGAGCAAGTTTGAAACTTAATTTGTAATGATGATTTAAGCTTCTAAAGATTGAGTTCATGTTGATGCTATATATATTTTATGCCTTATATATCACATTGCATTTTTTGTGCGTATGATTTAATTGTTTCGGGAAATTATCAATGTGGAGTTTAAGATTAAAAATATACCAGTTAATTAATACATAATTATAAGTGAAATTAAGATTTTGAATTTAAGTAAAGCATTAAATTCAATTTAATGATTGATTTGTAGTCTATTAATATACATCACTCTTCAATTATGATTGTTACGTTAATAACCGTTCCCTTTTTTAGTGATTACTGTTTGAATAGACACCTAATCCTCCCTTTATTTTAAAATATAAGAACATGAGTTACTAAGAAGAATGATTTAACAAAAAAATAAATATTTTATTATAAGTTACGTTTGAATTACTTAAAATAAAAAATATATATTTAAAATTGAAAAAAAATATATAAATATCTCTAAATTTTAACCTACTTATATATACAACTCATACTAAAATATTTATATTTATTTCTTAACAATTTTTACTAAAAACTCTTACATAAATTAATACAATAATTAATTATTATAATTATTATTTTATTAATTTTTCATTAATATTCTTATCATTTTAATATTTTTTATAATTTAAATACGTTTAAATAATTTATTATATTTTTTCTTTACAATTTTAAATTTTCAATAATATAGAAACAATTTTTTTTACACAAAGTATCATATATTTTGAAACAGGAGTATATTATATTTAGACACATTTACTTTCATTTAACTTGTATTTATTATATGCTTTAAACTTTTTCTTTATAAACAATTCTATATTTAGATACATTTACTTTCATTTAACTTGTATATGTTGTTTCACTTTAAACTTTCTCTTTATAATTAATTCCCCACAAGTAATTTAAAAATAAAAAATATTTTTAATTAAAGTAATTAATATGAATGGTTTCTCATATTAAAAATGTAAACTATAAATTTATTATATTACATTAATTTTAAATAATTTACTATTTGTTTATCAAATAAAAATTTTGTTTTGCTAACCTATACACCTAGGTACACTATAAACAATGGCGGATCTTCTTGGGAGTTGAGGGAGCCGTGACCTCCCAAAAATTTTGTAACTCCCATGTCATTTATGATTTTAGCCTCCAAAACTTAATGAACATTTAATATATTTAATTATATATTTACAATTTTATCCTCTTAGCTCCTCCTCGGTTTGTAACTCTCATATAATTTATGATTTTGTCCCCTCAAACTTAATGATCATTTAATATATTTAAGTATATATTTATAATTTTATCTTTTCACCATTTCATTTTCTTATTTCATTTTATATTTATTTATTTATTTATTATTTATTAATAATATATTATTTTGCCTCTGCAAGATCAGTGGTCAAGATCCGCACTGATTATAAAAACATTAATTACTATTTATTTTATTAGTTTATCTATTCAATTTCTCTTTTTTAATTATTATTATTTTATTAATTACCTACTTATTTTCTTTCTCCTATAATTTTCACTTATTCGTAATTACATATATTCAAAAATAAAAATCAAAAGAATTTAAACAAATAATATAATAATAGCAAATAAATTTAAACAAATAATATAATAATAGCAAATAAATTTAAACAAATAATATAATAATAGCAAATAAATTTAAACAAATATCATAATAACAAAAAAAATATAAAAAGTTTATTCACTTATATAATTATAAAAAAAATAAAATAAAAAGAATAATTTTATGAAAAATATAGGACGTTTAAGGTTTGGTTACGTAAAATAATATAAACATTAATTATTATTATTTTTAATAAATTATTAGTTTTTTTATTAATTTAAAAATTATCTCACCAATCAAAATCATATAAAATAACATATTATTTTTTGTCTCTGTAATTAATATAATTAAAAGATAAGATATAATTAATAAAAAATCATTAACATAATCTTAAATTTTTCCAACGTCATGTATTTAGTAAAAAAAATTAGCCAAAATGTTAAATATTGTGAAAGAGGGAGAGTATCTGCTGAAATGTGGACACCTCATACCATTTATTTTATTATTATTTTGCAATAAATCGTATCAAGACATTTAATAGGAAAAAAATTTAAATGGACATTTATTAGTAAGCAAGAAGGACAACGTATTTTAATGATGTCATTGATGAGTATTTGAATTCATGCATTAATTATTATGCACTCACATTGTTACGCGAATTTTAATTAAATAAAAAACGAAGAATATTTAGCTTAGGGCTTTTTTTGTATTTTTTTTAGTTTACAAATTTATCATTTTTTAAAATAATTAATATATGTAATTCTCCGATCAATTTCTTAGAAAACATTTTTAAAATAATATTTTATCTAAACAAAAATTTTATGTAAGTTTATTTATTCAATTAAACATATTTATTATTCAAATACAAGATTTAATAATAAAAAATAATTTTTTTATATAATACATATATTTTACTTTATTTTTTTTATTTATTTTTTATTTATTTTTCTCTTTTTATTTATCTATTATTATTATTATTTTTGTCATCTAACTTGTTTTCTTTTCTTTCACTTTTATTTGCTGGCACTTATTTTATTTTTCTAATTAAAAATATTAAATTAAAATTTGACAAAATAGGTTTTTTATTGTTTTTAAAATTAATATTAAAACTTTAAAAATATCAATTAATTATTTAAAAATAAGATGACAATAAATAATTTTATTTATTATAACAGTAAATAAATTTATTTACAATAATATAAATAATTATTTTAAATTATTTTATTATAATCAATTAATTACTCAACTAATTAAAAAATATTAAATATTTATGAGTTAAATATATTTTTTATTCAATAATTTAATCTAATTATAATTAGGTTGAGTTATGAAGATTAGTTATAGGTAATTTAAAAAAATATTTATTATAAAATAAATATATATTTTTTTAATAATTATAATCTAACAAATTATAATATCTCAAATTTATGATATAATATATTTTAAAATATAATATATTAAATTTAAAACTTTTTTAAATAATAAAAAACTCATTTATAAAATTTTAATTTAATATTTTTAATTAGAAGAATGAGTGGAAAAAGAGAAAAAAAGAGGAAGATAAAAAAAATAAGTAGGATGATAAAGAAAAAAATAATAATTAAAATGAATAAAGATAAAAAAAAGTAGAAAAATAAATGAAAAAAGAGACTAAAATATTTTCCAGTTGAATTTATTTTTCATTATTAGATCCGACGTAAGAATACGAAACAAGTCTAATAAATAAAATATTAAGGTAATTTTTTATTTTAAATATATTATTTAAGAAATTGATTATGTAATTCTCTATATATTTCATTTGTGATAAAAATAAAATTTATTTTTATCTTATTTATTTTAAAATATAATAATCTTATATAAAAATTATATATTAATACTTAAATTAAAAAATAATTATAAAAATTAAGAATAAACCTCTCATTTTTATTCAAGTAGATGCATCTTTTGAACTAGCTTCATAAAATTAATTTATACTATATACCAAAATATATGAACAAATAATGAATAACATATTATTGTTAAATAATGCATTGTTTTTAAATTTGTTAATAAACTATCTGTATATGAATCGTTTTTTATAAATATCATATCAAACATGTATATCTCAATTTATTAATATAATAATTTTAATAAATTATATCTCATATTATAATTATTTGTAAGTATTTAGTAATATTTTTTTATTATATAAATATCACCAGACCCATGAATTTATAAGATCTATTTAATTTAATAATAAAAGTTAAAAATATATTTTTTTATCTTGTCATTTATTGTTTTAAAATTATTTTTTATCTTGTCATTTATTATTTTAAATAGTGTTATTAAATATAATAAAAATACTTAAAATATATTTACGTTAAAGTTTGAATGAATTATTATGATAATAAAATTTATTTAATTATTAATTTGTACCAAATACATCTCTTTCTATTTTTTGGTATATTTTTAAGGTATCTCCGAAAGATGTAAAAGAAATATTTATAATGTGACGTATTTTTAAGTAATTTGCTGATGATTTTACTTTATTAGAATTATTTTAAATAATAAACTTTAAAAAATTTATTATTTTTCCTATTCTCTCCTCATTTACTTTTATTTATTTATTTTTATAAGTTATTTAATGAAACAACTATATAAAAAAAATAACATTTCAATAACCGGCCCCTAATAAATGTCATGTTTAATGTTTGACCAACGAAGGAGTGATACAAATAAAGGTTATATATATATATATATATATATTTTTTTTTTTAAATTTAGTTTCGATTCTTGTATTTTAAAAAGTTAATCAATTAGTCATATTATATATAAATTTATTCTTTTAATTAATTTTAGTATAACAAAAAATGTTATTAAATATTAAGTTTATATATTAAAATCATATTTTATCCTTTTATCAAGTCTGTTAAGATGAAAATCATAATAAAATGTTAAATTTAAGTATTGAGAAAAAAAAGATATTTATAAAAATGAGATGATTAAATTGATCCATATAAAATTGTAAAGATTAAAGATATATTTAAAAAAAAAACATATTTTTTCTCTATAAATTAACATGCCCAATGTGGTTGTCCATTAGAGATTAATGTGGAGGTTCTCAGCATTGGCTTGTTAGACGATGAAGGGGAAGAAATGAAAGCTTTGGGCTTGCTAATAAACATGATGTTGGTTGCAAGTGAAACTATGACATGTACAAAGGCTGTTATGAGTTTAAGTTTGTTGTACGACCAAATAAAAAAAAAATTATATGGATGATGTTTAAGTTGTAGATAAAAAGATAATGAGTTTGAAACTGAATTGGTAACCATGATTTAAGATTATAAGATTGAGTTTAAGGTTATTGATATAAGT